ATTAAAAATTAAATTTTTGTTAAATACATATTTAAACAACGAAAAAATTTATTTTGTAAAACTTTTTGATAAAATATATTAACCCAAACATTGCTTTTTTAATTTTAAATAAACGAGTATTAAAAGACGCAAAAGTTGTGGTACCGCATAAAATATGCATTTTGGATTAAAATTTTATGTAAATATTATATATCCAAATAGTATCCTCTAAAATTTCAAAATTAGAGAAAAGTGTGATTTTCAAACAGCTTGATTGGATACAATAAACTGGTCAGGGGTTAAAATATTTTAAAGATAAAGTAGAATGTGTATCAAAAAGATTCAATGATACCTATAGAAAGAAAATATAAGTTGATTATTTTCGGCACAGTATTGAACGTTTGTCAGTCAGAATTATTTGTAACTTTGGAAGGAGGAGAAGTTAAAGGGGAACGTTGTTAAAATGCCAAATTAGGAAATATGTAAAATAGGTTTTTAGGACTCAACGGAAAAAATTTAATTTCACCAGCGACTACTAATTGAACGATTTTGTTTGTTTAGAAAATATTAGACAGAAAACCAAAATTAAAAAATTTTAGTTACAGAAGACACAATAGGAGGAAATTTTGTGACAAGATTATAAAAATACAGAAATAAGAAAATATTTTATTTATGAATAGGTTACTTGTAAAGTTTGGTTGGACATACATAAACCAGGGTTCTGATCAACAAAATGCCCATCAAAAGTACAAAAATCTCGATTTTGTAAAAAATTTATATAGCCAGATCCGGATTTGGCATATCCGACTATATCCCATTTATCAGTGTATATCTAAGAATTTTAAAATTTTTTTAAAAAACGCTGAAACATGTCAAACGAGATACGAATTAAGCTTTCGAATGGTATATAGAACATTCATATCCATAAAGTATTCATCGAAAAACATGCTCGGGTATCAAAACTTATGTTACAACCTAAGTACATAGTGACTAAATTTCCAAATAAAAAGTACACTTCAAATTAAATTAGAAAATATTTATTTGTGCTCAAATCTTCAAAAAATAAATTTAATAAATGAAATATAATAACAAATTTCTTCCATTTTCAGCGGCTGGCGAAAATTTTGGGAATTTTAGGGTTAAATTCAATTTGTTAGCAAAATGTTGATTTAAAAGTACTGAACCGACATTTTTCTGAGCCGTTCCATGATGGAAACTTGCTAATAAAATTAAATACTCAACTTTTAGCGCTGCAGTCGAAAATTTTGAGAATTTAGGATGGCTAAACAGCGAAAATTTTAAGAATTTTGGAAAGAAAAGAAGCTAGAGTTATCCAATTTTGTCACCAGATTAGGTATATTTTTTTCATTTTTTTGCTTAATTACGACGAAAAAAACGCAAAACGCAACGCAACGCCAAAATTTAACGCAAATAACGCAATGCGCTCACCCCTGGTACATACTTTTAAAAAAGTACAAATTCAAATTCGTAAGTACGGGAGTCGATTTAAAAGTAGAGTTGCACGAGATCGATATCTCGACCGAGACGAGTATCTCGGCCATTTTCCAATCTCGGTCTCGGTTTTGCCGAGACGAGACCACCTAACCGAGACGAGATTCTCGGCACTTAATCTCGCCGAGATCCGAGATCAGTATACACCCCTAAAGATTGACCTTCTTGAGTTTTATTTTGACAAAATATTTAAAATTTCGCTATTGGCATATTGTTGTGCTCACTTTAATTTAGTTGTCTAGAGAGCGGAGCAGGACAAATAGGCGCGGCCGAATACACATCAACCTTCCCGATGGTTAGAGAGTAAAGTCTGCGCTGCCGTTAACTGTCAGCTCTTCCCACTACTCTTTAGTTGGAATGCTCGCGCCGCAGCAAATCGGCGAAAGGTTACCAGGTTCTTTACCAGGTTCTCTCATTTTTGGGGGGAAAGATCTCCCTCTCTGTTAAGATTGTGGTTGAGTGGCTTAGTTGTTGGGTTTAGCCTTTAATTGCATGGACATAGGATTGGACCTGGATCCAAATAATCAGAACTTGTTTGGTTTTATTTTTTCTTTACAAAAAAGAGTTATTTTAAAATGTTAATCTTATTTTTAAATATTGTCACCGGAACCGAAATTCTGACCAGAACCGGATCCAATTTGAGTTCGTATCCCAGAACCGGACCGGAACCAAAAAACGCCGAACTTTATGAAACCGGAACCGAAACCGAAATTTCCGGTGAAACCCTTCCAGATATACATTTTAAATCAATCAAAACAATTAATCCCACCTTATTCTCATTAATTCTGAATAAATTAGCGAAAATAGACCGAAAATAGCTTATTTTTAGAGCATTTTTTCTTTAAAAAAATTTTCCAGTAAACCCCCGTACCCTGACCCAAACCCCGACCATGTTTTGCTCCCCCGACCCGAACCCCGCCCCGAAACAATTTGAAAACCCCATACACCGACATACCCGCCCCCGAGCGTTCTGGGTCACCTAATTTAAATGGGTTTTAGTGGATAAAAAAGGTTTTGAAAAATCTCGGTTTATCTCGGATCTCGATATCGGTCTCGGGTCAAATTTTGCATCTCGATCTCGGTCTCGGTCATGCGAGTCTCGGTCAATCTCGGTCTCGGATTTTTTCTAAAATCTCGATCTCGTGCAACTCTATTTAAAAGTACAATAATTTTAAAAAGTACAAATCCGAACCCTGACACATAAACTAGATAACAGTCAAAATATTTTAAAGATTCACGTGAAAATATAAAAATTCATGCGAAGAAAATTAAGAAATATTAAAATTAAGAAATTGTGTCCTTTTTTGACTATAGAAAATGCCCTATTTACTACTAAATAAATAAATGCCCTTTTTACTAGATAAATGTCCGCTTTTTATCTTACCTCTATTTTTTATTAGATAAATTTTTTAGCCCAATTTTTTAGCCAATTTTTTTAATTTTTTAGCCCATTTTATTAGATAAATTTTTTTATAAATGTTAATATATTTTATTTATTTTTTATTTTATATTAAATTTTCTTTTGAAATTGAAACAAAACAAAAATTAAATATTAAAACTTATAATGATAATATATTATTTGATCAAAATAATTTAAATCCTCTCATAAAACTTGATGGAATTGAAATTAAATATTTAACTGAGTTAGAAACAATTATATCCTATAAAGATGATACTACTGAAAATAATGTACTTCTGTTACACCCTTATTCTATTGACTGCACATATCGTAGAGAAAATAATTATGAACCATTACTTAACTACAATGACGATGTTGATGATGGTATTATATAAATTTTACAATTAAATATTAATTTAGGACATGATAATATGAAAAAATTTTTTAAATGTCAAGGAGTAGAAAAAGGAAAAATAGAAAAACTTTTAGTTATCAGTGTTGAACAAGCGGGAAAAGTTCAAAAATCCACCCTTTGGGACCTGTCCCACAGATCTCGCAACTTTTGATTTTGAGTCTTGGGAGGGGCTTGAATTATGTGAATTTTATATTAGAGATTAAGAGGGATATCACTTGATGTCTCCTAAAACCAAAGATCCCTTGATATCACTTATATCCCAAAATTTCTTGAATTCCAAAACACAATATCCTCTTACCCCCTCTAAATCCCTCGATATCCACCTTAATCCACTGTTATTCACATTAATCGCTTAAAATCCCCATATATCCCTCGATATCCCTCAAAATCCAACAATATCTTCTTGAAAAACCCGAGAAATTTCTCGACCCAAGAATCGCACCAAGAGTCTCGAACATCACTAGTATGTAGTATGTGAATGTTGAAAAACAAAAATCAAAAAGTTCGAGCATCCTTGCCGTCTTTTAAATTTTTATTAAATTCTAAATTAATTTATTATTAAAAAGAAAATTATTTTTTAAGCTGAATCTAATAATTTTTATATGTTAACCGGCAATCATCCAATCCTATTTACTCTCGGAATAAGAATATGTTTATTAGAAAATCATGGACGAGAAAATAAACAATTAATTAAAATAACTCCTCTATTTAATCCAATAATTCAATGGGAATTTACTGGAAAAGAAAATATTTTTATAGATTATAATCAACAAAATCCCGTTTATTTAAACAATAAAAGCTCTATAATTTTTAAAATTCATGACACAAATTTTGAATTAATAAAATTGGAAGCTTTTCTAAATTCAGACGAACCAAAGAATTTTTTTACAAAATTTAATCGAAAAAATGAAAAAAATAAATTTAAAAAACTTTTTGTCGATCCAGAAGGGATTTACCGTCGAAAACAATTTTTGGGATTTAATGAATATCCAAATATTGAAATTTGTGGAAAAATGAATTTTAATAGACCAAAAAAATATTTGTTGAGAATTGAAAGATTTGGAAGAGAATATTGTAAAAATAAAGAATTTAATAAAAAATTTCAATTTGAGTTAATTTTGACAAATAAAGGTATTAATTTCGTTATTTGGATAGTTTTGTTAAGTACATATTAATAATTGATAAAAGCATCCTTTTTTGTTTTCAATATTTTAATTGAAATTTGGGCTTTATGATGTCCCTTCAAGGCACGTAGAATAAATTCGGGGTAAAGTTAAATAACCCTTAACTCGGAGTTGAATTTATTCTACCGATTTTAACCCGTAGCTAAGGTTATTTGCCCCCGGGTTGTTTGACTGGGTTATCCAATCCCGAATTTATTCTACGGGCCCAGAGTATATGCGTCACAAAAATAGTATAAGAGCCGCTTAAATAAACCAGCAATTTTTTTCAAAGTTTATTTAAAGCCATGCTCAAGGGCCAACGAGCAAAAAATTCATAGTTTAATATCATAGACAACCTTAAATCATAGTTCATGGGACGCATGTCTTATACTAGAGCCTAAATTTGCTCTTGTTCACATGAGTTAATTCGCAATTAATTTTAGTGTTTAATACTTCAAAATTAGAGGATTTTTGACAGATAATTTTTTAAAAAAGCTAGTTAAAATATTTTAAAGTTAAAATATTTTAAAGATAAAGTAGAATGTGTATCAAAAATATTCAATCAGCTAAATGATCTAGAAAGAGAAGAAATTGGTTATTTTCGGCAGGGTATTGTTATTTGTATGGCAATTGAAGATTATGATATTAATGAGGATAAGAGTAAAGGAAAAAAGAGAAAATTAAATGAAAAGAACTTTAAAGAATTTAAATTGTTAATGAAAATATTTCCTATATTTAATGAAGAAAAATATGAATTTGATTTTGATGAAAATACTGGAAATATTATTGAAAAACACCTTAATTAATTGGATTATCCCTTCAGCGTTGAAAAAATTTTGAATCACGTACTTTTATGGAAAAGATATTTTTGTTTAGATTTTTTATTTAAATTATTTATTTATTTAAAACCCATTCTCCATATGTATAATGTAGTTATTCAGACATTTTTGCATAAAAATTTTCAATTACATTTTCTCCGTTTTTTTAAATTTATTCTCCCTTATACTATTTTGGTGAAATAAAAGAATTAGGCAAAAAACATCTACATATTTATAAGGCTTGGGAATTGAATATAAAAATATTTTAGGTAAAATTATCGCCATTTTTTATATGTAATGAAATGCAAAATGACCAAAGAACATTCAAAAGGAGAAACTAAGAAGTTTCTTAGTAGACTGATAAATTCATTTTCCCGAGTTTTATGTAACAATAGCTCATTAGAAACATCATAATTTGGTTCAAATCCGCGTGGGGAAATGTATAAATATTTAGTAAATTGCAAAAAATTTTTAATTCCTACTTTTGAATATTTTTATGGTGTTTTTCGTTCACAGAAAATTTTCTAAAATTATTTTTCTCAACTAAAATAAATATTTACATTAAATAATATTTTTTTTACATTAAATAATATTTAAATAATATTTTTAAATAATATTTTTTTACATTAAATAATATTTATTTAAACCTCATTTTTGCGCTCTCGCCCTTTTCAATCCAAAAAAATCGCCTCTTTTCTTTCTTGTTGTCCGGCAGCTGAACACACAAAAACAAACTAAACTAAACCTCCCCCCCCCCACCCCTTTAGCGCATCGATTGCTGGAAAGGCTTAAGAAGAATAAAATATAAAAATGATGTGTATTTTTTATTGTTTTTTTATAAAAATAAAAACATTAAAATAAAAATTTTATTTAAATTTAATAAATACTTTTATTGTTGGAACTCAAAACTTTTAATTTTTACTAAAAATTTTTAATTTATTTTTAAAATTCAATTAGACTTTAATGTTATTTTCTAGCATTATTAAATTAGATTAGGATGATTTTTTAACCATTAAATCCTCATATAATTTTTATCTATTTAATTTTCATTCCTCAAAATATTTTATACGAGCAACTCCTTAACCTAAAAATTAGATGTTAATCCTTTTAATGACCTACCAAAATTTATTTAAATATAATATGTATAATTACAAAATTTGCGCTTGACAGGAAATGATCATTTTTATTTAAACTTAGTATAAATATTTTTTAGAATATACAGATATGTATTAATAACCTTGAAATTTTTATGTAAAGTTGTTAATGGATTTTTATTTGAATTTATTTTTAAAATTTACTTTACATGTTAGCTTTTTTTAGTTTTTATTGTGTAAATTTAAGAGTGTAATTCTAATTGTGTTTTTAATAGTCGATATTAATTATCTCGAAAAATCTGCAAATGTTTCAAATTCTATCAAGATTCTAACTCGATAAACTCTAAAAAAACTTGTCTAATTTATTCTGTGAACCTAAACAAATTGTAAATTTAAATTTTACATTTATAAATACCGCATTTCCTTTAATTAAATGTTCGGATCAGAGATGCACGAAAATAAAATTTCGCTCTCAACGAAACGAAAACGAAAAAAAATAAATTCGTCAATGTACGAAACGAAAACGAAACGAAAAATCTACGAAAATCTACGAAACACGAAATGAAACGAAAATTTTCGTGCATCTCTGGTTCGGACATTAAATTTTCTAAACATCTTCCAAAAGGGCATTTTACATAATTCATTCTATCAAAGGAAATACGGATATAATTTATGTATAACAATTATTGCAACAACAAATTTTAATCCTTAAAAGCGCGGAGTGAAAGAATTAACAAAAATATATTATTTATTTTCCTTTATTTCATTTTACTTTAAAAATAATAAAAAATTTATAAAAACACGTTTTAAATTTAAAAATTAAATAATATTTTATTTTATTAAATTTTATTAAAAATTTAATTTTATAGAAAAATTGACTAAATTATAATTTTATTTAAAAAAATATTTTTAGATAAAGTTTAATATTTTTTTATAAAATTTTTTTACTAAATTCCCACACTCTTTTGTTTGCACATCCAGAAGAAAAGCTTTTTTCTAGTGAAATAAAATGGTGAATAAAAAAATGAAGGAAAAGCGCGTTCGTAACGTAGCAATAAATAAATACAAAAAACAAAATTTTTATAGAGAAATAATTTTGACGACCTTATATTTATTTATTTAAATTACTTATTTTTTTAAAATTATCAAGAAAAACTGTATATTATCGAAAAAAACTGTATATTACCCCATTTTTTCTCCCCAAGTTTTTTCTTAAATATGTACAGAATGGTCAAACTTTCTTTCTTTCTTCCGTCTCAAGTGATTAAATCAAAAATGTTCCAAACTTTTGCTTCCCCTATTTTAAGTTTAAAATATTATAAGGATAAAATATAAAAACGTAAGAAACTAATTAGAAAGATCTAGGATTATTCTATTAGAGGACACTTATAGTTAAGTTTAAAAATTTTAATCCAGATCTTTCACTGAGATTAAATAATTTACAACAAAACGTTCCAAACTTTTGCACTCTACTGTACATGTTAAATACCAAAAATTAATCCTCCTCAACTTGTTTTGCATATACTTGCACCTGCATAAAATTAAATGATCCTTTTTGCTCAGTCCGTACATAAGGAAAAATTTGGGGAGGAAAAATAGGGGTCTGTCAGGTTCAACAAATTGTGTTCTAAACTTTTTACTTTTTTGATCACACATTTCCCCTATGTTTTGTAAGAAAAATTTTTTTCTAATTTAAAATAACAAAAAAAACAATTATATATTATTTCAACTCTTAATGCTTCTTTTTCCCGTTCTTTTTTTTAATAATCTTTTTTTAACAAAATATATAATTATTATTCGTCTTAAAAACGTTTGCCTGGGCAACCAACAATATTTTTTCTTCTCTTTTAAACACCTCAAAACTTTTTGTATATATGTATTATTAAGGTTTTCTTTACAAACAAAATATAAGAATATATAAAAAATTCGTTTTTTCCTTATATTTAATTTATTTATTTCATTATTAAAATAGCTACAAATAATACCAAAATTCTCACAAAAAATTTTTAGAAAAATAAATTTAATAAAAAGTTTTTTTCTGTTTATAAGTTTACATTTAATTTGGAATTAGAAAATAATGGTAAGAATAATGTATTCACACTTCCTCTAAATTTATTTATTTTTTTGTTTGTAAAACAAGTTCTTATTATTAATTTTTGAAATTGAATTATCTTTTATCCATGTTTCGTATTTTCGGTTATTTTTTCTTATCAATAATTTTAAGTTAATAATTTATTCTAATTATTTATCAAACTTTGAAAAGAACATTTATTTATGTTACTATAGTAATTAGAAATTTTATAACTGTTCCTACGCCTATAGATAGCTGTTTGTTGTGTTGTTTTGGGGTGTCTGTCTGGTTTGATTCTTATGTTAAAGTTCTATATGTTGATAAGGAAATTTTCGGGATATTTCGGGATCTCTGGATACCCGAAGATTTCAAAGTATCCACCAACCTTATTTGTGAATAATTAATCGAATAATCTGTTTTATTGTTTGTTTTAGAAGTTCGATTACTCATTTAGAAATTTTTTTGGCTATTTTAGAACGTATAAGTAGTTGAGAGAGAGAAGGGAGACTTCTTTCTCCTTTCTCTCAACGCTTTTAAAAATCCTAAAATTAAATTAAAAAGAGGGCGGCTACTAATTTAAAATCAATTTTTTAGTCTTTTTTACTTTTTAATTTTTAATGGATTTCCTTTTTCTATTTTTAAATTTCTTTTATAAAATTAATTTTTGTAATTTTAGAGGATTTTTTTTTGATTTTAAAATTTTTTTATTTATTTTTCATTTTATTTACACATTATTTTCCTTTGAAAGAATTTATTATATGACTCAAATGATGATAAATCCTTAAAAAATAGTTAAGTAAATGCAAACAAATAATGCTAAAATAATTTCTATTTTTTTTTAATTTTTAGTTCTTAATTTTTGATTTTAAATAAAGTAATCAATTTTTAAAATTTTTATATTTTATCCATATATTAAGGGTTATTGGTCATAGAAAAAACTGCGGATATTTGGAACTTGACCGAGAAATCGAGAACCAAAAATTTCCTTGCTTCATTCCATAATTATCAATTAAATTTTTCAATTTTATTTTCTCATGTATATAAATTTCTAATTATTTTAAATATTTTTTACTCATAAATTCGAGTGAAACATGTCTTATTTACAATTTTAAACATTATTAAAGCAGACAAACTTATTACAGTAAACAAGGCCCGGATCTTTAGGTTGTAAAAATTTTAAAATACCTAGATACCTTAATAAGCTGTAATAAATGCCAAAATGGGTGACAAAAACTCTAAAATAGGTTCAAAACTCAATTTCAGGTTTCAAAACGCCAAAATAGTTTTCCATAGGTGATAAAAAGTCCGCTTAAATAAAAGATTTACAAAAAATAACAACTAAATTAAGCTTAATTCATCGAAACTGCTTTGCAATAAAAACTAGGTTAAAGCCTAAAATCTTGTCCCTACTAATTATAATCATATGAAGTTTCTAAATCCAAACAATTTATTTTTTTACAAATTATTTTAAAGTTGAAAATGCCTAAAATTTGTGGGCACTTTTCCAAAATATCCTCAACCATATCTTTACTAAATAAAAAACAACAAAATAAAATGAATTATTATTTTTCAAAACAAAATAGCCTTAAAACAACATTAAAATATTTTTTTATTTTATTTATTTTTTTAAATTTATTTTTTAAATTAATAAATGGGGAAAATATAAAATTGTTTTTGTCAACAAAAATAAATATTAGTGAAATAAATAATGAAAGATTTGCTTTAGAACAGGGGTGTGTGATGCGTGATATTTGTGGGGTAGATGGTGAATTACGTCAAAATTGCCGGTTTTTATTTTTAAAAATAAATTTTTTTAATTGTTAAATTATTGTAAATTAAATAGAATACACCTATTCGTCTTAATTAACAGGGGTCGTTCGTAAATGACGAAGGTGTCGAAGCGTGGAACCATAGTAGACCGGAATTCCGACCAACCCCTGCCTCTTAATAAGAGAATATCTCTTTTCTTCTCCTCCCTTGAAATTTTTAGATATTTATATGTTAAATTAATTATTTTTAAAAAATAGATACGAAGGCAGTCCAGTTCCAATATCTCTAAATGTTGAGAAAGAATATAGAGATTTGTGTCCACAATTATTTAAAGGTCAATAAATTTAAAAATTAAAAACATTAAATTAATATTAAGATGGAAATATTGCGACATGTTGTAATCATGCTCAGGTGTGGATATTTTTATTCGAAATTAAAAAATAATTTAAAAAAATTAAAATATTGAAAACTTAACAATTTTAAAAATATTTTCTCTTAATTTTATTTAAATTCAAAAATTAAAGTTTGAAATTCTCCGAAACAAAATGTCTTTACCAAGAATGTTGTTGCAACGTTGCCCTTCTTGTTATTCTAATTTTGCCAATTTTTTCTGTCAATTTACTTGTTCTCCCTTTCAAGCTAATTTTGTTAAAGTATAATTAAATTTTTGGAAAAAAAATTAAAATAATTTTAAAATAAAGATAACAGAAATGCTCAACAATAGCAAAGCTATATATAATGAAGCATATATTTCTCGGGTAGAATATTATGTAAGTTTTTAAGAATATTTTTTATTAAAATTATTTTTTCTCTTTAAAAAAAAAGATAACTTCAAAATATGCTCAACAATTTTTTGATTCTTGTAAAAATGTTCGGACAACAACCGGGGATTTTGTTTTGAGTATTCTTTGTGGAACGAGTATTGATAATTGTACTCCTGAACGTTTATTTAAATATATTGGGACTTACAATAAAGCTTTAAATATTCCTTTTACTATTGATGTGGTAAATAAAATATTTGAAAAATTCAGAAAAATTTAATTTAAAAAGATAATATCTCCAAACAACCAAATATTATCAACTACCCCTTACCAAAAACAAAAACAACGTTTTTTGAAGCCAATGAATACAACAACCTTCAAGTGTAATCAGTCTTCTGATTTGTCTGATTCCCCATGTTCCTGTGTTGATTGTTTGTCTGCTTGTACATCATCAGCACCCTTTCCATATTTATTCCAGGTATTTTAAACAAACTTGTTGTAAAAATTATAGTTTATTTTTATTAATTAAATTTTGGAATAATAATTTTTGGAATTTATTTAAAAAATTATTTTTGTACATACTATTGGATGTATGACTTTTATAAAGTTGACTTTACAAACTTTAAACACTAGTTGATTTTGTAGTTGTGATTGACTTAGGTTTTTACTTATTCTTCTTGTAATTGAATTTTGGGGCGAGCTTCCGAACACTAATTTTGATTATTTTTGAGGACTTATTTCATAAATACCGTATTTTTCCTAATAAAGCCCCATTCTCAATTAGAGTTTCATTCTCTAATACATTACAGCCCCAGTCTGAAGGATAGTTGAAAAATACAGCCCCGTGGAAAATATACAGCCCCGTAAAATACAGCCCCGTAAATAGTAAATTTGTTTAATAACCATTTAATATTTTTTTAATTTCCATCTCGTTTATTTTATTTCAAAACAGGAAAGTTGTAAAATGGCTACAATGGATTGTTCAACAGCAATGAGCATAATGGCAACTTGTATTTTGTTTGGAGTTGTGATGTTAGCTGTTGTCCTACATTATGTACTAAATTAAATTAACCCCTTTAAAATCTTTAATTTAAAGATTTTGAGAATGTATACTTCAGAGGATGTTGACGATATTGCTGTTGATATTGTCCCCCGTTCAACTAAAGAATCTGTTAAATTCTCTCGAGTTCAATTAGAAGACTATATTATTAATTATTGTTCAAAATATGGCAGTTTTGTTGCCCGTCACCCTTTAATTATTTTCCTTCTTGGGTTAATCCCTTCTTTAATAGCCTCTTCGGGAATTGGAATGATCCGGTTTTGACAAAAGAATTTTTGGATTAAATCAAAAATATTTTTTAGTCTAACGACTGACCCTGTGGAGCTTTGGAGTTCTCCAGGAAGTGATGCTCGTGAACAAAAGGAATTTTTTGATAATAATTTTGGGTATTAAATATTAAAAAATATTTTTATTTAAAAATTAATTAAAGTCCCTTCTATCGAACTGAACAAATTATTATTGTACCAAAAGATCAAACTTTTTGGGAACGCGAAGATTCTTCGAATTTTCTTAAAAAAGTTAGGATTGGACCTGTCTTTCGAAAGTAAAAATTTTTTAAAATTAATAAGCTTCCTTTAAAATTAATTTTTTCAGAAATTTTTTGAAAGCTTCTTTTAGTCTTTACAAACAAATTTTGGAATTAGATACAACTTTAGAGAATGATAAAAAATTAATAACTTTGTCTGATATTTGTTTTAAACCCCAATGGCCACAAAATCCTCATTGTGTTGTTATGAGTATTTTTAATTATTTTCAGGTATTTTCTCATAGAAAGTAATTTAATAATAAATTTTTAAATTAATTTTATAAAGCCGTATCTATTTAAATAATTCCCTAGATAAGTATTGTTTCAATCTTTTCCAGGAGGTAGTAATTAATTAAGGTGGAGTATTATTTAAGGGTATTTTAGAAAGGCAAATTAAAGTTATTTTTAGGAGGGTAATTATTTGTTTTATATACCTCTGCCTGGGGGGAGGGGAATTTTAATAAGGAGATAATCATCTGAGGGTGGGTATTGAGTAAATACAATAAGCTTCTTTTGAATGAAAGATATATGAATGTAAGCTTGATTCTCTCTAATAGAATGCAACTAAGAAGTAGATTTCAAAATCAGAGAAAATACTGTACTTAAAATACATATTGTAAACAAGATTTCCTAAAATTATAAACCTTAAAACACATTTACTTTAAAAACATTTAATAGAAAATAGGCTTTTTAGGCTTAAAGATTAAAATTGCTTTCACTTAAATTCTTTTTTTAAACTTATATTTCAAAATTAATAGAATAATATCACAAAACTTGATTTGGAGGATGACAGTTCATTCAATACTTTTGATTATGTAAATATCTTTACAACTCTAATTTAAAAACTAATTATTTCCTCACAGATCGACCATTTATTTGATTGTTTAGAGAATCCCTACCAAATGTCTAGTAAATTACAAATTTCTTGTTTGGGACAGTTTGGAGGCCCAGTACAGCCTTATGTTGTGCTAGGGGATTTTGAAGAGCCGGGAAAATATGAAACTGCGAGAGGATTAGTAATTACTTTATTAGTTAATAATTACAAGAATAATGAAGAAAAGTAAAATAAAAATTAATTTCAAATTCTGATTTTTTTAAAGTTTCAAAAACAAAAATTTGTTAGCACTTGCTTGGGAGAAAAAATTTATTAAATTATTAAAAACACATAAAAGTGAGATTTTTAATGTTACTTTTATTGCTGAACGTTCGTTGGAAGATGAAATTGCTAGACAAAGTAAATCTGATGCTTTAACTGTTTTTCTTTCTTATATGTTTGTTTTTTTGAATATTTTTTTAAAAATGAGAAAGTATGGAAAGATTTAGCCTATGTAACCTAAAGGGAGTTTCAGGACTAGTTGGAAGAAGTATAGGACATTAACGGGTTTAAAAAGAGGGTGAATAATATATGACCGGCTAATTAGACGGATAACAATCTTGCTTCCGAGAGCTCCCAGCCTCAATTCTTATAAGCCTCTTTAATATACTTAAATCGAGAATCTCTGAGAATGATATTATGGATTCCTTGTTATATAGTTTTACTTTCCTTTAAAAGGTTTATGTTTATTTATGTTGCTTTTGCTCTTGGCCATTATTCAGGTTTCGGGAGAGAATTGTGTTTGCCTTTCATACATTCAAAATTTACTCTTGGAATATTTGGAATTTTTGGTTAATTTAAAATAATTTTAAAAAATACAAAAATTAATTAAAAGGATGTATTCTCTCTGTTTCCAGTTCGATTGGGCTTTTTGCTTTTTTTAATATGTCTGCTGTAAGTTTTGAAAGAAAAATAATTTTTTAAATTATTCACAATTTAAGTCCTTAATAATTTTGGAAGTTGAACCATTTTTGGTTTTGGCTGTAGGTGTTGATAATATTTTTATTTTTGTTCACTCTTACCAAGTAAATTTAAGAAATTTAAATAATTTATTTTTAAATTCTCTTTAAGAGATTAGCTAATAATATTAATCAACCTTTACCTGAGCGGATTTCAATTATCTGTGCAGATGTAATGCCGTCAATGCTTTTATCTAGCCTTTCCGAATTTTTTTGTTTTAGTTTAGGTCTTTTATTATCATTAAAAGACTTTCTTTAATTAAAATTTAAAGGAGCCCTTTCTTCCATGCCGGCCGTCCAAATGTTTTCCCTCTATGCTGCAGTTGCTATTCTTCTCAATTTTTTACTTCAAATAACCTTTTTTCTTTCGGTTTTTGTTTGGGATATTAAAAGACAAGAAGTGAATATTTAATGAATAAAATTAATTATTTTAATAATTATTTTTTAAAGTCTTCCCGTCCAGAATTTTGTTGTTGTTTAAAATTAAATAATAATTCAATTTCCGATCAACCAACAGAAAGTAAAGTAGAACATTTAATGAGACAATTTTATGCCCCAACATTATTAAATAAATATATACGGATTTTTGTGGTTGTTTTCTTTGCTTTATGGTTAGCTAGTTCATCAGCTATAATGAATAGAATTAAAGCTGGTTTGGATCAGAAAATGGCTGTTCCTGAAGTAATTTTTTATTTAATTTTATAAGTATACTCTGACAAAAAATTATGAACTCCCCAAGTCTTTATAAGTCCCCCGTGAGAAATAAAGTGTTTCTCTTAAACTTCTTTTTATTTTAACTCTCTTCTTTAAATCAATTCAAGTCCGAATACACGACAATCCAATATTTATTTAAATTAAAGGGGCAATACAATTTCCACAAATAAATTAACGAATAAATAAGAAGGGGGAACGCCACTAAAAGAGAAAATAACAAATGAACTGAATGAACAAATTTGGGGAGAGAGAATTTGCTTTTATAGGAACATAAAAAGGGATAAAATGTCATTTATTTATTTAAATTAAAATTAAAGTCATTTGAGTCTGGGCGTCACCACACCCCAAGCTATAAAGACTCATTGAAATATACATCTAAATACTGGACTAAATTTAAAATATGATTATTTTAAATTCGGTGATTGGGTAGTAGAAGTTATCTAAACGGTGCTCTCAATTTACGATACCCTCCATTATTAGAAATAATTTATCAAGCCAAAGGAATGTCTGATTTTAATTAATAATAAAATTAGGATTCTTATGTTCTTGCGCATTTTCTAAATATGGAGCAATATTTGGCTGTTGGCCCTCCCATTTATTTTGTTTTAAGAGGAGAATATGATTATCATGATTATATCCTTAGAAATCAAGTAAAAATATTTGTTTGATTTTAAATTTAATTAAATAATCAATTTTTATAAGGTTTGTTCATCAAGTGGATGCTCAGCTAATTCCCTTGGTGCCCAAATTGCCCGCGCTGCTAAATTTCCTGAAAGGTACTATTTAGTTGTTGGTTATATTGTGTTGTAATTAAAGCCTGGACCGTGGCAAGATCTCGAACGAAAATTTCGGTTATAAAACTCAGTATTTGTTTGAGATATAGATCTCAAATCTCGTGCGCGCTCCCAGTCCGGGCTCTAGTTATATTCAAAATAGCTTATATCTATCCTTCAAAAATAAAATTTAAATAATAAATAATGTTCAAGGTCCTATATTGCCCATCCTGCTATGAATTGGGTGGATGATTATTTGGATTGGCTTAAACCTGTTGGATATTGTTGTAGACAATTTAACTCAAATAATACTTTTTGTCCTTCAAATAGTTAAATTAAACTATAAGATTTCAATAAAAAAATTTACATAAATTTCAGTAAATATCACAAATATTTGCCATCACTGTACAGTCTCTCCATTACAAGGTCAACCAGATTCTAATCGATTTTACGAATTTCTCCCAAATTTTTTGGAAGAAAATCCTTCAAGGAATTGCCCTAGAGCGTAAATATTTTTCCAAAAAAATAAAAAAATTTTAAAATTAATTTAGAGGACATCCCACACATGGCTTTGCTTTAAATTTATCCAAAAAAGAAAAACAAAATTCTACAAATGAATTTAAATTACGGGTTTTGGCTTCTTATTTTATGACATATCATACAAAATTATCCTCTTCTGAGGATTTTATTCGGGTAATTATTTTATTTTCGAGAATATTTTATGCAATAGTTAAAGACCGTAGTTGGATCTCATTCGAGCTGGATTTGGATCCAGACCTTGATTTTTCTCGAATCCAGGGTCAAGACAAAGGCATTTTTCAGACTACTTGATTTTTCCTTGGCTCAATGTTAAGAATGAGTTCAGGGACCACTCAAAAAAGATCATTATGTTTTAAATCTTTGTCTCATGTAGATACACAATTATGGCTTAGAAATCTCATAATAAATCAAGTGTATCTATCAATCGAGGTATTGCTTAACCAACCCACCGTTAGTGAAACGAATTAACAAGCATATCATAAATTTGTTTTTATCTAGTAATTTTATTTTATTTTGAATATGAAACTTAATTAAAAATTATTTTTTTAAATCAAAGGCAATGGAAAGTGCTCAATTAATTTCTCAAAATATAACTCGTGATATTAATCAAATACTCAATTCATTAAACCGTAAACATATTGAAATTTTTCCCTACAGTCCTTTTTATGTATTTTATGAACAATATAGAGGAATTGTTAAAACTGCTATTTTACAGGTAAAAAACAAAATTTTTAACCCTTCTAACAAAAAATTAAAAGATTATATTATCCCTTGCATGCATATTTTGTGTAAATACTTTATTGCTTGGAATGGACCCTTGGTCTGCTTTTATTGTTGTTAGTTTTTTGAAAATATTTTTGAACTAAAAAAATTCCTCAAAAAGGTTATAGTTATTGCTTTAATTTTGTTAAACATGGTTGGATCTATGTGGTGGTGGGCAATTGACTTTAATGCAATTTCTGTTGTTAATCTTGTTATGGTAAATGATATTTTTAAATTGAGTCTTACCTTAATTTTTAGTGGTTTTAATTGTCAGGGGTTAAGCCTAACTTTATTGAAATATTGGATTTTTAAAATAATTTTTCTGACAGGACAATTTTAGTTAATTTTTCGGGGCATGGGTAAAAAAGTGAGGTGTAAGGGTTTTTATCTTAGAGGAAATATTTTCAATAAATTTCTAAATTGTTTAAAATTTATTTAAATAAGAATTTAAATATTATATTTAGTCTGTTGGAATTTCTGTTGAATTTTGTGCACATATTGTTCGAGCATTTACTCTTAGTTTGAAACCTACACGTTTAGAACGTGCATCTGATAGTCTTTGTTCTGTTGGATGTTCCGTTTTTAGCGGAATTACTATGACAAAACTTGGGGGAATTGTTTGTTTTTTAATTACTAAATAAAATTAACATCCGTACTGTATAAGCTCGAATAATTACCCTCTCTCAAATAATCGCCCCATCTAGCGAAATGTTGAAACAATAATTAACCAGAGTAATTATTCAAGCATATACGGTATATTCTTGTTATAACGGAGTCTATTATACAGATCAAGCTTTCTTTGCAACACAAATAAATAAAAATCTGGATTTTAATTTAAAATTTAGTAAAGAAAGGTTATAATTAACATAATATTAAAATTAATTATTTCCAACATTCTTTACCAAAACTTTGTCTCAGTCCAAGATAGTGTCAAGACTCAGACCAAAGTCTTGAATAAAAGCGCTAATATTGTATAAATATTATATTAATTTTTTATTAAATTATTTGTATATTTTTTCAGTTTGTTCTAGCCTTTGCCCATTCAAAAATATTTAAAATTTATTATTTTCGTATGTATCTGAATATTGTTTTAATTGGGGCTGCGCATGGTTGGAAATATTTTTAAAAATTATTTTATTATAAAAATTTTAATTTTCAGGTTTAATTCTTTTGCCAGTTCTATTAAGTTATTGTGGTCCACCAATTAATAGAAGACGTTTATTTATTAATAATTTAAATAAAAATAAATCAAAATTTTCAACAAATAATAATATTATTAAATTACCTTATGGGGCAAGAAATAATAAAAATATACAAAATGAGGGTAATTATTAGAAAAATAAATTTAAAAAATTATTTTTTTTAAGTTTGTTCAACACTTTTGCAACATTAAGGAATTAACAAATCCAATTAATATTATTTAGAAATTAAATGTTAAATTGATCTCTTTAAAGAACAAACATATTATTATTAATTAGAACATTCCGTATTTTATAATGATCTTTTTTATATTTTTTAATATTTATTATTATTAAATTTTATTTATTTTTATATGTTATGAAAGACAAAAAAACCTTTTAAAAACCCTTACACAGTCCCTCATAGGATCTGTGCCGAGCGTTGAGTGTCAAGTGTTTTGTTCCGTGTCATTTTTATTTCAATGTAGGAAGGACACGTATCACTCAACACTTGACAGTCGAAGAACAATTAACAAACTAACACTAACAACTCCAAAAATAACTAAAAAACATAAAACACTAAAAAATCAAATAAAAACACAAAAAAAAACACCCCAAAAACATAAAAATTGTTTTTGCTGAAATGGAAGAAATCTGGCTATCTTGACTTCCAAAATTCTCAAAATTTTCAACTGCGGTGCTGAAAATAGTAGGATGCTTCTTGGCTTTAAAATCCTGATATATCAAGGCATGTTGAGGGATTAGTTTGATGAAAATTTGGGGATTAAAAGGATTTTGGCGTGGTTAAGTAGATCACTTCAAATATCAGGAAGAAAATAAGGAGTTTTCATTACAAATTACACAACAATTTAAAGTAAATTGTCGTTGGTAATAATTTAAATTTATTTTAAATAAATTTCCAAAGCCTTTGATATTTAATAAATTATTTAATAATGTTGAACAAAGAAGCCAGAAAAAGGGTAATGTGCTTGGTTTTATATTAATCAACGGATATTTTTTTGGATTTTTAAGAATTATTTTAGAAATTTTTTATCCAATTAAATAAAAATTTAAAGTGAGAATTTCGATTTTTTACAATTTTATATAAATTAATTTTTCTAATTCTTTTTTGGCCGTAATTTACTCATTTCTGTTCGAATCCATGGTTTCATTGCATAAATTCTTTTAATTAACAAAATAATATTTTTTTAATTTTATTTAATTTACTTTGTATAAACCCCTGGAAATTTTGGTTGTGCACATCCAATACCCCAACTAACAACTCCCTTTAAAATTTTTATTTGAAAAATATTTTTATTCTTATTACTTGTAATTCCCAAACTCCTTTTTTATTTTGGCATTGTAAAGGACCCCCACTATCCCCCTGACACGAATCTATTCTTCCATTATTAAAACCTGCACAAATCATTGATGCAGTGTGCATTCTACCTTTAAATTAAACACAAAATTAAACTTTTGTCTCTTAAATTACCAGAATAATGTCTAAAATTATTACAAGTAGCTGTTGAGAGTATTGGTACATGAATTTCTCTTAAAGTTAATGGCCGTTCACCGCCTTCTTTTAACCTTCCCCAACCAGTTACAACACACATTCCTTTAAATAAATCATTTAGTATTAGTTTAATCATTGGAAAATTTGTCTCCTTCTCTCGAAGTGATACCTCCACTTTGATCCGCTCTCAAATGCTTAATTAGCCCCCAACAAATGTCCCATTGAAGACCAATACATAAATATACAATAAACAGGCGATCCAGTCATAAACCCAATAAACAAAGGATAATCTAGAAACCTACCATTATTTTTTGGAGGTTTTGATGGCAAACAAATAGGCCAAATAGAATCAGTAAAAATTGCTAATGGAGATATTCTGGTTTATAAAATTAAATAAAATTTATTTAAAAGAATCCAAAAAATACCTTAATAAAGCAACATCATAAGCACTATGCACTATTTGATATAATGGATGTATACTAATACTAACAACATTATGTGGTAATCCAGAGTAAATTGCATGTCCACCCAATAATATTTTAAATCTTTTTGGAATTCTGCTGAAAAAGGAAAGTGTCAGTGCTATTGAACATTTGTGGGTATTGGGCATTCTGTGGCTCCGACCCTGAAATTTATCAAAACATGGCTACAGCCCTGGGGTTTTCAAATTCTTGGCTCCGGAGCCGATGATTTCGGAGCCACTCCGTGTTGGCTCCGGGTTCCGGGTGAAAAATCAAAAAGAACTCCTTGGATTATTTGTTGATCACGATATGACCAATCGAACTTCTGTAAAAAACCTTTTAGCAAAACAATGTGCAGCAGTAACTACAAATTCATTATCAATTAAAGCACATCCACATTTATGTACTATAGTTGTTGAATTATCTTTCTTATTTTCTCCTTTTACAGCAACTAATTGACAAGTCCATGGCCAGGCATGTGGATCAGTTTTTAAACTCCCTACAAGTCTGTGTGTATCTGGCATCTCAAAAATTATAAAGTCAAAATTACAATTGGATAATAGAGATGTCTAAGAGTTGGTTTTTTTAACGCAATACTTTTCTTGGATTTTTTGGTCTTGGAGTCAAAAGCGCCTCAGAAACTAATTAAAAATTTGCCTTGTGAGACCAAAAAAATTTTTGTTTCGAGTGCTGCGGTCAACGCCTACTCTCTGGTCATTGTCTTGAGTAGGATTGTCGAATTCATCAAATTCTTCTAACCGTAACGACGACTCCACCCCAGAATATCGACACCCTAAATATCGCACCCTAAATATCGAAGCCCAAAATATCGATGACCCTAAATATCGACACCCAAAATGACGAATTACCCAAAATATCGAAAAATTTTTAATTTCATAATTGTGTATTCCAAGGACGGAGAAGTCTTGTTAATATAGGAGACTGATCGGTCGCTATGATCAGTTCGATCGCTTCTCTATAGTTAAAACACTTCCCAGATGTTGGAACAACATTCCCGATCAAACGATTATGAAATTTAAAAATTTTCGATATTTTGGGTAATTCGACATTTTGGGTGCGATATTTAGGGTGTCGATATTTAGGGTGTCGATATTTAGGGTCATTCGATATTTTGGGCTCGGTATTTAGGGTGTCGATATTTAGGGTCATTCGATATTTTGGGCTCGATATTTAGGGTGTCGATATTTAGGGTCATTCGATATTTTGGGCCGATATTTAGGGTGTCGATATTTAGGGTTATTCGATATTTTGGGCTCGATGGGGTCGGTTTAGTATATGCCCACCGAGATCGAAAATCGTTATATATACCATTCGATTCCTCTCACCGAGCTGAGTTCAAATATGCAGGAATTTTCTGCCGGAGACGAAAACTCGCAGAGATACAGGCCCCCGAAAATCGAAAAACCATAGGGGGGACCAAGCACTATTTTGGGGTGAAAAATTCGAATATGCAAATGATAGCTCATTCGAAAGAGCTCGTCGAGCTGAGTCGAATGACACCAAAATCAACAAAATCCGACTTGATTGGACCGAGATATAGACCTCTAAAAATCGAAGATCCAAAGGGGCGATTTCTGGAATAAAAAATTTTTTATACAAATAATACCTCATTTGAAAGAGCTCGACGAGCTGAGTCAAATGACACCAAAATCACCGTGATTGAACAAGAATAGACAAAGTTATGATACAAAAAACAAAAAAACCTAAACCTATGGGGCGTCGGCGAGGCGCTTGTGCAAAACCCCGCGCTTCGCGCGGGGTTTTGCGGCACGCGCCTCGCGGGGAGTCTACGGGTGCTGGGTCTGGGCTCGTAACATAAACCTATTCCTATCTCCCTTGCTCTGGACGTATTTGGGGCCTCCGTAGCAGCAAAAATCTCCACAGATGCCATAGGTAAGGAGCTAAATAAAAGATCACAACTTTGTCCAATCAAGTCGGATTTTGTTGATTTTGGTGTCATTCGACTCAGCTCGAGGAGCTCTTTCGAATGAGCTGTCATTTGCATATTCAAATTTTTCACCCCAAAAAAGTGCTTGGTCCCCCCTATGGTTTTTCGATTTTCGGGGGCCTGTATCTCTGCGAGTTTTCGTCTCCGGCAGAAAATTCTTGCATATTTGAACTCAGCTCGGCGAGACGAATCGAATGGTATATAACTTGAGTTTCGATCTCGGTGGGCATATACTAAACTACAGCCGGCTCGATATTTAGGGTGCGATATTTAGGGTCATTCGATATTCTGGGGTGATCCCGTAACGACAATTTCTATTTTTCTGTTCGGTTTGAAAACAACAATCCTCGTCTTAAGTCTTGGAAAATTTCTGAATTTGACCGTTCTCCTATTAGGAATTTAATTATGTATAAAAAAGATTAAAAAGATTTTTTATAAATTTATTTTTACTAACCAAATAATCAAATCTACTAAAATTATTTAAAGACGAAATTCCACATTTAATTTCATTTTTCTTTTCAACTTTAGAAGAAACAAATAAATTTAAAATAAAAATTATTAAAAAATTAAATAACATTTTAGCATAAATAAATTCATAATTCTTTAAAATTTTTGTGGCGGAGAAAGAATGGTGACTGAATAAATTTTTTTATTAAAAATATTACTGAAATATTTTTTAAACATATTTTTAATGACTCAGAATTTAATTTTTAAATTTATTTATAATATTAAATTTTTTTAACCGAAATAAATAACTTTTTATACAAAATTAATAAAATATATTTAGATGTCAAAAAAATGAAATTTTCTACAAAATTACTAAACGTTAAAAATTTAATTAAAGATTATTAAAAATCTATTAAAAATAAATTTATAAATTCATTAATAAAATTTATATTAATAAAATTAATAAAATAAATTAAGATTTATTAAAATAAATTTATTAAAAATTCTTTTAATTACATATGCTTGTCTTGTATATGTAAAGCATATAGCTATTTAATTCCTAAGTCTATGCAGTAGGCGGCGTGGTGTAATGGCAAGACATCAGTCCGGTCTACTGAAGATGCTGGTTCGCTCCCAGCCGCCGATTAACCTCTTGCACTAGCTAAAGGATGTTGAACTAAATGTTCAACATCTTTTAAATACTTTTTTTGTCTCTTTCGTTTATTATATTATTCAACATTTTTTCCATCATTAAGCATTTAATTTCAAAGCATTTATTACAAACTACCACTTTTTTTAACTGCTTTTCGTATTTTGTTATTTAAAAATAGTTTTTGGTAAGAGCAAGTTGTGAAGCTAATGAAACACATAATTTATAGTATTCAACCATATTTTTGGTAGTTTGATAAGCCGGTAGATTGGCAACTTCTAAACTTTGTATAATATGTAGGTGAGGGACCCGAACCCCGAAGGCTCTACCCCAGCAAACGCCGTTCCCCGACACACCCGCCACGAAGGGTCGGGTTTCTACCCTAATTCTAAGTGTCAATTAATTTTAAATTTAAACAATAAGGTACCTCAACAGGAGGATGCCCATGTAGACAACAATGTAGATCAACAAAATAATTTATTGAATGGCAATGACGAAACTGATAACACAAGTACATTCACTGAAAATGATCCTGAAAGTAGCGATTAAAATTATGTTTGAGAGATTTAGTAGAACTTTAGAAAACTATTTTTCCTAAATTCTTTTACTAGACTACCTTCGATTTTTAAATTTTAAACAAAATTTTTACATTTCGTAAATTGAAGTATTTCTTTATTATTCAATTAAAACACTGATTATTTTTTATAAAACTCTCCGGTTTTTCTTGGTCTGTAAATTACGCTGTTTTAGATAAGGTTTAAATCTGTAGGTTATTACTGAAAAAAATTTCTGTTCAGTTATATTAAAACCAAACACCATCCTTCGATTTTGACTTACAAAATTTTTGAAATTTTAAAAAATATCAACTAGGAAATATTTTATTAGAGAAATTTTTAAAGAAAGAAGTGGTTAGGGGGTAGAAAAAAGAAAATTAAAAATTAGTATAGTTTATTTAAATTTGTTTCAAAAATGCTGGAGTGCTTTGAGACGGAAGTTAAGGATCGGTTTGATTTTTTAATTATATTATTACGATTATGGCGATAAGTACATGGCGATAAGTACATAAATTTGGTTTTTAAGCCTATGATACGGTGTACACCAGGGTTGCCGCGGTTACAAAAAATCTTCGGGTACGGGTTTCGAGTAGTAACCCCCCCCAAAATGTCCCAGTTGTGAAGTGGGACATTTCGGACGGGGTATTTACCCTACCACCAACATGCCCCGTAGTAACCCCCCCCCAAAAGTAGTAACCCCCCCCCAAAATGTCCCAGTTGTGAAGTGGGATATTTCGGACGGGGTATTTACCCTACCACCAACATGCCCCAATTGAGAAGTAAGTTTTCATCATGTCCCAGTTGTGAAGTGGAAATTTTATGAACGTATTTTCCCCAATACCAGTTGCCCCAATCTAGTAGTAACCTAAATCAAAGCCCAACCCTTTTGTCTTATCCATGAGTGTCGGCAAATCAAAGGCCACGCTTTTGTCTCACTTAATTTTCCCGCACCACCCTTTTGTCTCAGTAGATTTTGGACGGTGTATTGTCCCCACACCCAACTGTCCCAGTTGAGAATTAAGTTTCCAAAATATCCCACAACAATTCCCAATTGTGTAGTAAAATATTTTATGGGTAAATTTCTCCCACACTCACCTACCCCAATCTAGTAGTAAGCCCCTCCCAAACGTTACAAACGTTACACCCCATTTGATCACCTGTCAATCAAACCTGAGGCTATAGGGGGTATTTTTCTTTTGATCTTTGCCGCAAACCCTTTGTTTTTGGAAGGGTTTAAGGGTAATTAATCATGATTAATTAGGGTAATTAATCATTAATGATTAATTGCTTTTTGGTGGAAGTTTGCGGGAATTGACAGGTTTGATGTTTGTGGTGTCTGGGTGGTCTGTTGCAACATTTGGAGGGTAAAATAAAAATTTTTAAAACAATATTTGGAATTGCGGTAAAATAAAAGAAGTCAGAAGGTTTTGGATGGGTGAAAATGCGGTAAAATCATAAAGAGATGAATTTTTGGGTTTTCAATTATCTATGTGGGTTGATTTAAGGGAAATATTTAATTGAAATGTTTCGAATGATTGAGAGGTGATTAGGTTCATTAATAAGTATAAAGGGTGCGATTGGTAAGTGATAGGGGTGGGAATTGATAATTAAAATATGAAAAAGTTTAAAAGGGTAATATTTTTGATTAATAAAAAGCTTTTATAAAATTAAAAATAAAATCTCCGAGCGGAATCGAACCTTCAATGTCCTGTTTTTTATATGCGGGAACCTTATCCATTCGGCCATAGAGATTTACTTAAGTTTAATAAAATAATCTGTTAATTTATTATAAACTAATTTCTCTGTGCATTCTGGGGGATGGGTTGGAGCATTTTAAAAATTTAAAAATTTTGAAATTTTGTAAATGATTTAAAAATTAAAATAAATTTAAAAATTAAATAAAAATAATTTAAATAAATAGTAATAAAAATTTTTAAAAATTTTGAGAAAAATTTAAAATGATTTTAAAAAAAGGGCGGTAGTTCAAATGTAACGGGATTTATTCAAAATGCCAAATTTCAAAATTTGGCAGGAATTTAAAGTTTAAAAATTTGGTGTGAAATTCAAAATTAAAAAAAAATTATTAATTAAATAAAAAATGCAGGAAGAAATAAAATTTGAAAAATTTTACAAAAAATTTAAAATGATTTTAAAAAAAGAGCGGAAGTACAAATGTAAGGGGATTTATGGCAAAATGCCAAATTTCAAAATTGTCGGGAATTCAAAATTAAAAAATTGGCCGGAATTCAAAATTTAAAAACTGGCGGTGATTTCATAATTTAAAAATATAAATTTAAATAAAATTTAAATAATTAATTAAATAAAAAATAGAGGAAGAAATAAAATTTTACAAAAAATTTAAAATGATTTGCAAAAAAGAGCGGAAGTACAAATGTAAGGTAATTTATTTCAAAATGCCAAATTTCAAAATTTGGCGAGAATTTGAAGTTTAAAATTTGGAGGGAATTTCAAAATTAAAAAATTTTTAAAAATATTAAATTTAAATAAAATTTAGATTAATTAAATAAAAAAATGAGGGAAGAAATTAAATTTGAAAAATTTTACAAAAAATTTAAAATGATTTTAAAAAAAGAGCGGAAGTACAAATGTAAGGGGATTTATTCAAAATTCCAAATATCAAAATTTGCCGTGAATTCAAAGTTTAAAAGTTGGCGGGAATTCAAATTCAAAATTAAATAAATTTAAAAAATACTAAATTTAAATAAAATTTAGATTAATTAAATTAAAAAATGTGGGAAGAAATAATTTGACAAAAATTTTACAAAAAATAAAATGATTTTAAAAAATTGCCGGAAGTTCACATGTAAGGGAATATATGAATTATAGAGAAACACAAATTTAAAAAAATCTAAGTAAATATTATTGATCTCTAACACATAGCTCCACCTTGTCAACAATTATTTCGTAATTTGTTCATACGTCTAAAATCTGAGTATAAAAGGACAGCTTTTTTCATTTTTTAATCATTTGCTATAAAAACAAAAATATTTAAAAATCTTATAATGTCTTTTAATGATGAAGAAAACGGACCTTCTCCAAACAAACGCCCAAGATTCCACATCCGGAATCTCCTTCCTCACTTATTCAATGACATACAAAGCGGTGCGGGTACGACAAATTTTAAAAATTATTACCGCCAAATCGATTATGAAACTCAGTTTAACAGAAAATTTAAAATGATGGGAACAACTGGAAAGTTTATTATTGAAAAATTACCGGACAATCCGGAGGAATTATTGAGAAAAATAATCCAAGACTGCATGGATCAAACCGTAGAGGAATCAAAGAAACAGGCAATTAATCCTGACCGACTAGGCGCAATAATTTCTTCACAGTTACTTGATAATGATATTTGGATACCAATTAGAAAGCTAGAAAAAGATACAACAGACAACATATTAACAAGATTTCAACTTGTTTCACAATCTAAGATAGAAAGGGGGTCACTTCATGGTCACCCCTTCACAATAAAAATCCAGACGCTGGGTATTTCATCACTTCCAACACACCAGTCGATTAGAGGACGTGCACCACAAGACAATGCAACTGATGGTTTTAAACTAAAAGACGAATTATTTATTAAAATAGCTAATCAGAACAACTTATGCTTATTCTATGCTTTGGAAATTACTAAAAAATATGTCATTAAAGAATTGGGAGATAGAAGAAAATTTAATAAATATATGCAATACAATCATCGGCAGATGAGAGATGTTTTCGATCTTTTAAAAGCTGCAAAAATTCCTAACAATCTCTCTGAATATGATGCCGTGGAGTACGTGCCAGTTGTTGTAGATTTTTGGAATAATCAATATAAGGATACTGGATATAAATTCAAAGTATTTGTTTTCGGAGGTGTCAACGAAAAGCCTATATTCAAATATGGAAATGAAAATTTCAATGTTCCAATTTCCATTTTTCACTCAAATAACCATTTTGATGGATTAAGAAATGTTGGAGGAATGTTCGGGGTGAACCATAAATATTGCTTTACTTGTGAGAAGAAATTCAGAAAATCAAAGGAACATGACCTGAGATGTAAATCTCTCTGCAGATTGTGTGGACGCATTGGAAGTGAGCGTCCTTGTTTGGCAACAGCAAACTATTTAAGAGAATGTGATGATTGCGGGAAAAAGTATTTGAATGAAGACTGTTTTAACCATCATAAAAAAAGCAGCAATTGTCGGCAAACAAAAATTTGTGAAAAGTGCGGGGTGATATGGACAATCAAAAATTATAAAAGAGAGGAGCAAAAGAATCACGTATGTGGACAAAAATGGTGTAAAATTTGTCGGCAATTTCATAGTATTGATAGAGGATGCTTTATTCGTCCATTGGAACCTAAAAAATCAATACCGTACCGTCTAGTAACATTCGATTTTGAAGCAACACAAAATGAAAAGATAAGGAATACAAATGAAGAAAGACGGCTCCACAAAGTAAATTTCATTGCCGCCACAGTAACATGCACAAGATGCATGGAAGACGGAAAAATATGGCGTTCACCCTTGAAACAAAATGGAAAGAGTTGCATAATCTGTGGAAACAATCGCTCAATAACATTTTCACATCGTCCATACTCTCAAACAAAAGTTGATAAACAAGTTGTTACACAAACACCACTCAGAGAATTTATTCAATGGATTCTTTTTGAACTTAACACTCAATATTCAACTATGGCATTTTCACACAATGGAGGGCGTTATGATATGGTGATGGTATTCAGAGAAATATATTTGAAAGGAGTTGTCCCGTCAATGATTCGTCGAGGTAATAAGCTTTATGAACTGAAAATTCCTCGCAACAACAAATGCAATGAAGTTATATTTCGTGACTCGTATAATCTCTGTCCAGTCGCCTTGGGGAAGCTGATTGGGGCATTTGGACTGCAAGTAACTGAAAAACAATTTTTTCCACATTTGGCAAACATCTCAGAAAATTATGGGAGAACACTGCAACAATTACCTCCAAAATCTGATTATTTATATGAAGGAATGCGACCCGAAAAACAGAATGAATTCGATAACTGGTATGAAGAAGAGAAAAGTCAGCAGTTTTGTTTGGACGAAGCATTGGCCGAATATTGCACAAACGATGTTCAGATTCTTACAGAAGCACTGATTGCTTTTAGAAAAAAATTTATGGAAATTAGCAAAAGGAAAAATACAAAACCTCAAGCATCGCAAGAAGGAATTGATATATTACGAGATGCAATGACTATAGCATCAGCCTGTATGAAACACTTTCGACTTAATCATCTGAAACCTGAACATTTGGCAATTGTTCCAGAAAAAGGGTATGAAACATGTGATAATCAAAGCGAACTTGCACTGAAATATTTACAATGGTACGAAGAGACACGAGGAGTTCATATCCAAAGTGCACATTCAGAAGGTGGAGAATATGTTGTAGCGGGGAGATACAAGGTTGATGGATATATTAAAGAAGAGGATAGGGCAATTGAGGTAAATGGATGTGTTTGGCATGCATGTGAAAAATGCTTCGGAAATGACTTGAACAAAATTTTACCAAACGGAAAAACAGTGGGAGAAATACGTGAAGGTGATGGAAATCGTTTGGAAATTATACGAAAATATATAAAAAATGTTGATATAATATGGGAATGTGATATACATAAGATGCTTCGAAGAAACAAAAATATGCAAAAATCATTTGCAAATTATCATGACAAAGGTCCAATAAAAATTAGAGATTGCTATTTCGGTGGAAGGACAGGACCTTTACAAATGTACTTTGACGCTGACGCAGAACAACATAAAATGGTTTATTTAGACTTTAATTCGCTGTATCCATCAACAATTGCTACAACATCATTCCCGGTTGGGCATCCGAAAATTCATGTTGTACCTTTGGCAGAACAGAATGTTAATTGGAAGAGTGGAGACCAAATTCCATTCAAAGGAATTTTGAAAGTATTTTTAGTACCGCCATCATCATTGAATGTTCCTGTTATTCCAGTCAAATTTGATGAAAGATTACTTTTTCCTCTCTGCAGAAAATGCGCACTTGCCTACCCGAATGGAGCAAACATAAAAAAATACCAATGTCCTCACAATGATGAAGAGAGAGGGTGGGTCTCAACATGTACTTCAATAGAATTAGAAGAAGCTTTAAAAGTTGGTTATACAGTTACAAAATTCTATAGAGCACTTCATTATGAAAAATGGGATGAAAATTTATTTAAAAATTATGTGGCAGAATTTATGGCAATGAAGATTCATGCGAGTGGTTTCCCTGAAGGTATAGAAGGAAAAGAAAATGAGGATACATTTATTAAAGAATGTAAAGACAAATTTGGAATTGAGATAGAAAGAGAGAAAATGGTTCCAGACCAGGCTATGCGCTACATATCAAAATTAATGCTTAATTCTCTATGGGGAAGGTTCAGTTTAAGAAATGGGCAATCAAGAAGTGTAGTCATTGACTCACCCACTGAACTTATCGAATATGACAAAAATAACTCAATTGAGATACAATCTATTGATAATTTAACTGAAGAAACAATTTTACTAACTTACAAACAAAAAGAAGAATTTATTATTGAACATGATACATCAAATATGGTGGTTTCCTTATGGACAACATCAGCAGCAAGAATAAAACTATTGAAAGCTATGCAAAAGGTAGCAAAAGCAGAGGGTTGCAATATTCTCTATGGAGACACAGACAGTATATTATTTTCCCATCCAAGGGATATGGAATGCCCTCTT